TGAAGATGAGAAAATTGAGACCCAGAGAGTCTAAATAATATGGTCAAGAACACACAGGATGTGATGGAGTTAAGCTTCAAGGCCAGCCCTGTCTTACTCAAGAGACTATGATTGTTATAGTAACTTAGGGATTAAAAAAAAATAAACAAACAAACAGAAAATATGCAAGGAACAGAGAGATGATATAAATGATTAAAATAGAGTGGGGTATGAGAAAAAAATGTGCTTTCTCTCATTTTTCTTGAATCCTATGGCCTGTTCAGTCTTTCATTGGGGTTCAGAGAGGTTGCTAATCATACGGTGGCAAAAATATTTCTCTTCCCTCTTTACCCTACTTTACCAAAAATATAACAAACAGGCTGTGAAAACTTGATGATAAATGGCAACCAACATCCAGCCTTTGCATCTGATAGGCAATAGAGAGTGGTGGGAACTGTGGCGCTTTAGAGAACTTGTGCCTTTGTCTCCTAATCAACTTCTGTCCTACAAAAATGTTTGCCCAGTGTTTCTGAATCTTTTTTTCTAAAGAACCTAGAAATCCAGCTGTTCATGAGAGGTCTTCTGATTTTTAAATATTGTAAACTAATTTATATAGAAAAATACCATGTAGTACCCTCTCTTTAAAAAATAAAATAAAGTCTCTCTGAGGGCTGGATCTAGCGTAAAGTCTCTGAATTTGTAAGTTCTATATTACGCACGACAGCTAATAAGTTCCTACTGGGAAGAATAATTAACAAGCAAAACTCAAATCAAAAATGATTTTCACTATTCTCCTAAGAATCGTGCCCTCCTGATTTAGTACCATTTGTGTACTGTGCCTCTCTGTGGCCCTGCACCTGCCCTTCACAGCTCTTAGATGCCTTGAGCATTTGTTTCTGTGCATTCCCTGGGTAGAGCTGGCAGTCTGGTGAGCAGGGGTGGCATGGCTCATCGGCAGTCATCCTTTGGCAACTGAATCAGAAATGCACCACGCTGTCTACTAAAGAACATGTCTATGCTTAAACCTAGCATTCCAAGACATTTGCTTCTAGGTGTTTGCCTGCAGAAAGTTTCTCGAAGTCAGTACAAAGTAGAGTGGGAAGCAATGCATCCATGTTTGAGGACTTGGGGAGCTGTTCTTCTGTATTCTTTCAGATGAGGCTTGGTGGATACGTTTAGTTACCCTCAATCTAATTCCTTGTCTGAATCCTTATTACTTCCTTCATTCTTCTTTAAGTTTTCACTTACTCCTGACCTTAATCACTGCCTTAATGGACTCATAGGTATCACTGAGTACAACCGGTTTACTATAGTAAGATAACTGTTAACTGCTGAAACATGGGTGCTCTAACATTGTTTGGATAACGTCTTCCTTGAGGGCCTCTGAGCCTTTGGCCATGGTCAGGGGTAAGTGCATCACAAACCATCGCCCTTCTAAACAGCTCAAGCTCTTCTGCTGGAAGAGGAATTTCTGCAGCAGAAAGCAAGGGAGTCTACAGGACACATTTGGGAAATAAAAGCTTTTATTTATATTTATTTTGAGTCTATGTTTCTATAGCTCATAAATGAAATTGTGCCTTCTTTAAGGAAACATTTGCTTTGGGGTATGAGGAAAGCCCTTTGGGCAAGAGAGAAAATATTCTCTATGATTTAGCATTTTTATGAACCATAAAAATTCTTTCTCTGCATTGGTATGTTAAACCCTGGAAGTCTACCTTAACATTCAAATGTGTCTGTCTTGGCAAAATTGGTGAAGTTTTAGAAAACAGACAAACTGGCTCATAGTCTAAGAAAATTTTATGTCAATTACTTTCTATTTTTCCTTTCTATATACTGAATTACATTTTTTCTTTTTTTGAGATCAGGGTCTCACTATATTACCCAAACTGGTCCTGAACTCCTGGGCTCAAGCCATCCTCCTGCCTCAGCCTTCAGAGTAGCTAGGATTACAGGCATGTGCCACTATACCTGGCTAATTTTTTAAAAAAATGTTCTTAGAGTTGGGATCTCACTATGTTACCCAGGCTGGTCCTGAACTCCTGGCCTCAAGTGATCCTCCAATCTCACCCTCCTGAGTAGCTGGGATAATAGACATCAGCTACTATGCCAGGCTCTGAATTTCATTTCTATCCCAACAGTTTCAACCTTTCTCTCATTCTTCCTTATCTCCTCAACTCCACGTACCTAAATAGGGCTTTTTAGTCAGCATGGGCTGCTAAAACAAAATACCAGAGATTGGGTGGCTTATATAACAAAGATTTATCTCTCACAGCTCTGGAGACTGGGAAGTCCGAGATCAGGGTGTGGGCCAATTTGGTTTCTGGTGAGGGTCCCTTTCCTGATTGACAGATTGCTGCCTTCTTGCTGTATCCTCATCTGGTGGAGAGAAAGAGAGAGCATCTTTCTTTTCTATTAAGGGTACTAATCCAATTTATGGGGGCACCACCTCCATGACCTAATTACATCTCAAAAACTTCAGCTCTAAATACCATCATATTTGGGATTAGGGCTTCAACATATGAAGGGAAGGCGGAAGGACATAAATGTTCGGTCTATAGTGCTTATGTAACCACACTTTTTTTTTCACTTTTCGTTTGGCCCCTCCCAAATCAGGTAGTGTGATATTGTGAAATATATATTTGATCTTTTTTCTGTTTCCTGGCATAGAAATCCTAAAATCCTTGGTATCTTCAGGGTGATCTGTCTTTTTGTATGCTAGTAAGTTGATTGATGGCTGGCAGCCCCTAGGTAGCTGCAGGATGGGGACTGGTCAGCAGAAAGACCAAGACCGGATTAGAAGATTGAGACTTTCAGCTCCACCCCTCGACCCCTAGGGAGGGAAGAGAGACTGAAGGTTAAATTAATCACCAATGACCAATCATTTAATCAATCACACCTATGTAATGAAGCCTCCATAAAACGCCAAAAGGATAGTATTTGTAGAGCATCCAAATAGCTGAACACATAGAGATTCCTGGACAGTGGTGTACCTGGAGAGGGTGTGGGAACTCGGCACCTCTTCCCACATGCCTTGCCCTATGTATCTCTTCATCTGTATCCTTTGTGACATCCTTTATAATAAAACGGTAAATGTCGAGTTAGTGTTTTCCTGAATTCTGTGATCCAATCCAGCAAATCACTTTAACCCAAGGAAGAGGCCGTGGGAACTCTGATTTATAGCCAGTCCATGAGAAGCACAGGTTAAAAAAAACCCTGAAGCTTGTGTTTGGTGTTGGAAGTAGTGGGCATTCTTGTGTCTGGGCTGAGCCCTCAACCTGTGGGATCTGACACTGTTTCCAGGTAGACAGTGTCAGAATTGAACTGGGTTGGAGGACACCCAGCTGGTGTCCACTGTGGATTGATCACTTGCTTGATGTGTGGGCAAAACCCCCACACATCTGGTATCAGAAGTGTGTTGTGAGAGTATGGTATGAGAAACTGAGTTTGATTTTTTTCCATACAAGTAGCATTTTCTGTCCTGAAGGGCAAGTAATGAATCCTCTGCCTCTAGTTAGTTGGGTGATTTATCAAGGACTGACTGGGGAGATTTATTTGGAAACATTAGATAGGAATGTTCCTTAGCTTTTTATATCTTAATTTAGGAAACCATGTGCTTGTTTCTCATTTTCTTTTGTCCCCATCTATTTTGTAATGACATATTTTTTCAGTGATCCCTATTTTTCAAATTGCTGTTACAAATATCTCTTTTTTAATCTCTGTCATCACCCAATAAGCTCGGTGATGTATCCCTGTCTTGCAGACAAGGAAACCATGTGCAGAGTGTTTGTGACTTGCCCCAGGACCTGCATTAAGTGAACAACTAGAACTTCTGTCCAAGCCTTCTGTTTCCAATGCTGTTGCACTTTCCAGTACCCCAAAGTGTAATCTACGCCCTTGAGGGCTCAACAATGCCCAATATATTTATCCAGCTTCTGATGTGCCTACCAAAGTGCCCTGTACAGTGGATAGGATCAATAGACTCTTGTCTACAAAATTTCTATGACATGGTTCTACTTATGCAACCTTGATCTGGAGAAATAAATGTATTTCTGGGGGAGAAACACAACTATGCATAAAGATCCTTAATTTGGAAAGTCTAGTGCAAATTGAAATGGGTGCTGGTTGTAGTACAGCCACTTCATGGTAGCCCTACATGACTATGATGAGGGGATGGCCTCCCAAAGGCAGAGCTTGAGCCCTGCACTGACCAGTCATCACTGCATTAAAGAGCAAAGGAGAAGGCAAGACAATGGAAATGAGTTTATCTGAGAGTTTGGCATCTTGAATATTTCAAAGATTAAAGTCGTGTTTAATAGGAACCAAATGGTTCACTTACCTGGTAATGGCATGGATTGGTGTCCACCTAGAGGAGTTCAGTTTGAATCTAGTCCAAATAAAGAAGAAGGGTGGGTTGAAGGCCGTGGTAGTGAACACTGAGCCTCTCACCTGGGTCCACAGAGCAAGTTCTTAGGCCACATAGACCTGCTGCCGATTTTCCTGAAGACTGTTCAGTAGACTACATGAAATAAATTAATAGCTGTGGTCCCCTGAGACATGGTCATGTTCTACATTTCTAGAAGCACTGTCCCAAAGCAAAACCGTAGCAAAAATGGCAAAGCAGTAAATGAACCGTGGATGGAGATGTTGCACTCTGGCTAGAATCTTGCTTGCAGAAGAATGCAAAGGTGTCTTCACTATTGTGCCAGGTGCTCAGCTGAATTTACTTAACTCTTTATGTGGAAGAAGAAACACAAAAAATAAAAATGCATTTTTCTGCACTCACAATGCTCACCATATGACTGGGGAAAAGAATTGTTCCATTAAAAAACAACATAGAAGTGAATCCACACAAACGATTGATTTTATTATTGAATAGCTGCTGAAGAGATTGTGGAATAACTGGAGGATAATCTGGTTAACTAAGGTTGGCTCTTGAAGGGCATGTGTATAGAAGAAGTGTTTTCAGCTCTATACACCTATGCACACTAGCTAGGGAAAGCTGGGCCCTCTTCAGAGAAAAGTCTCTTCTCCACATAGGAAAGTGTACCTCATTCAGCTTGAGACAGGACCAGGCCTAAGAGATTTGTCTTTTCTTTGGATCATTCCTGGATTAATGGTCAGTTTCATTCCCTAGATCTCACACTGACTCCAGATCATCCTGGTGTTTGATTCATTGTGAAATCCATGGTTTGTTCTGAGTCAGGTCTGTGATAGATTCACATTCCTGAAAAGCCTTCTATAGAAGTGAAGACTCAAGATTCCACTTACTGCCCTGGCTGGGACTGTTTGAGGGCTAGACTAGAACTGAACTATAAATGCCTTTGACAGAAACTGAGGGGCCTAGATTCCCCAGAGCCATCATCATTTTGCTTAAAAGAAAAGGAGAGGGTGCTAAATTTTAATATCTTGTTCAAACACACACACATGCATGCACAAACACAAACCCACTTACATGGGCACACAGACACGTATAACTCTTTATTTCTCTAGAATTATATTTCCTAGCCTTCTGAATGATATCATTTACTACCTTTATATTGATGGATAAAATGGTAACACATCCATAAAGAAGAGAGAGAAGAAAGAATGTTAGTGTTCTTTTAATGCCATAATACAAATGCTTCTTCATATTGTGTGTGCATGCATTATAAAACCCACAGATAATCTGTGTATCTGAATCTGTGGCTGCCTCCCAGAGGGCTTACAGTGCTTGGCATGTCATAGGGGAATGATGGCCTCGTGCTGTTCCAGGAACATTTCCTGCATTTGGCTGAAACTTGCTCGCTTTACAATTTGGTAGGGACACTGAATTAAAGTAAATTAAAATTAGGAGATGTGTTCTCTAATTATTCTATCAAAACAGCTTAGTGCTGGTAGGGAGGACTCTTTTCAAAAGGTATGAGGCAGCTCTCTGTGACATGCTTTCCAGTGTCTGGTTTGGGTCACCTCTACTAATCTCATCAGGGCTGAGGGAAAGCACTTTCCTTTTCATACTTCTGTGCAGGGATCCAGATTACTGTCCCCTACAGGGGCTTTGATGCCGTCATTGAGGTCATCAGGCCTGCCTTCTCCCTATGCACTGTAGCTGTTTAAATTTTACTATTTTTTCTCTCTCTCTGTTGCTTTTATTATGGTGGTTGGGGGGTAAATCAGAATCAACCTTTTAAATTAGAAATGCTGATCTTATCCAAGAGAGAATGTTATAGTGGTGATAGTTGACAATGAGGAGAACCATAAAATATCACCTGGATGAAATACCTAACTGCAACACTATCTCCAGGACACACACATACCAGAGTCCCTGCCTGCAGACAGGCACTGCTGATATATTACCGTCTGCTGGCCATTTTGTTTACGATAACTAGGAAAGGAAAAATAAGCCCCTATTTCAATGTGTTCATCCCAAGATGATGACACAGTAGATTCCCCTTGCAGGTAAAGCAAGAGAGCTCAGTTAATCACCATTTATCACTCAAGTGACTCAAGCGTCTTACAGATGCATTGGAGCCCTGGAGACTGAGATATTCATTGAGTTGCAATGCTGTTCTTTGCTCTCATTCCATTTAATATAATAACTGAAGTCCTAACATCAGAGTGATGTGTGCTATCTTTTAGAGTCAAGAGCCTTTAAAATGTACATGATTCACTCCCATCAAACTAGATAAATTTTCTGAAAGAAATGTTATATCATTATAATTTTAATGAGTTATAACTTCGCTCCATCTCCTCCATTACCAGACTATTCCTAGCTGCCATCATCTTTTGCTAGAAGCCTCTAATTTACTTCCCTGCATCTGCAGCTGACCTCCTTCAAACAGTGTTATATTGAGTTGATTTTAGTACATAAACCACACTCAGTGGGATCTAAGATAGATTAGTTCATGCTTAATTGGGTGGATTTTTATATATCTTCTTTTTTCTTATCAGAAGCATACTCTATTTGCCAGATAATAGTTGTGAAGTGGGTTCACTGCACTCTGGTTACCACTTTGCCTGAGTCCAGCAAGAGAGGACACCCACACACCCAGTTATTTGAAGTGGGTTTGTCATTTACAGATACTCAGCATAGGACAGCATAGGAGAGCAAAAACCTGGGATTCATTTCTTGTTAGTCCTCCAAGGCCCAGGAAAGCTGTCCAGAGAGAATGGACTCCTGTCTGTGCATACCCTGCTTGCACTGCTGCTGAGGGACCCCGGAAAACTACCCTACTGAGGGACCTATAAAATGACTTCGGGTTTTATACTCTGGCGGCCACACGAGACAATGGCTGGAGCTTTGAAGGACATCCTGTTCTGGAAGGGTCTATTCTGGTCAGTCTCTCCTTTTCTCAGGATGTTGCATCCCCAGCATATTCTACAGTCATTCTTGAGAACCACAAATAAGAAAGGAGGGAGAACTGGGTTGTCCAAGGCCCCTCAGAGAACTGTCCTGCAATAATTAATTTAGCAGTTAAGGTACAGTACAGGCTCCTCATTTGACTGCCCCACTCCTATTTGAGTTATTCTGATTACTTGAAAGTAAACTATTGGTCAAAAACTGAAAAAAAAAAAAAAGCGGGAGGAGGGGGGTGGAATATGGTTAGGCTTAAATTGTACAAGTTTCCGTAATAAGGATCAGCAAACTTTTCTGTAAAGGGTCAGAGAGTGATATTTTAGGCTTGTAGGCTACATGATCTCTGTTGCAACTACTCAACTTTGCTATTTTAGTACAAAAGCAGCCAAAGGCAATGCATAAATGAAAATAAGTGTAGCCGTGTCCCAATAAAACTTTATTCATAAAAAGAGGCAGTAATTAGATTTGGCCCACAGTTTGCTGAGCTGTGCTCCAGGCCAATCTGCCTCTTCCTTTTACATAGCCATTCCTCAAACATATCATTAAAACACTGCCATAATCTACAGTGTATTTTCTGATGAACCCAAGTCCTGAATCTCTCAATTCTGAACTTTTTTGTCTGGAAAATTATATAGAGTTTAGAATGGAAATTTATCTATGAGAGTGACTAAAAGTATCTTACTTATTAAACCAAGCATTCTTGGTTGATGTTTGTTATTTACATAGACCCATTTACCTTGAAGCCATAATGTCAACACAGCCTGTCACTTGGAAGATAGGTAAATAGTAAAACACTTTGAAGAATCACTAAAAGTTTCTTCATAACCACAGAACAGGTCTGGAAAGGTTACTAGCTGTTTGTCGGTCTCTCTTTTACAGAGCAGCAGCTGCTCATCCTTGGCCTAGAATATCTGCTTCTCAGAGAAGGAATTTCTCCTTTGCTGCCCACTCAGAGCTAATCGTGCATTTTCATGGAAACTGACTAAAATGACATAGTCTGTGGTAAAGGCTCAGGGGACTAAGTTAGACATGTGACTATCAAGTCGTGTTATTTTTCCAGGGGAGATGTCCTAGGAGATTTTCTCTGGCACTAGCAGCAGTGAGTCAGTAGGGAAGATAGTTACCAAGACCAGATAGACAAAACGTCATGGGACATGTATACCAAACCTGCTGCTTTCTGATCTGATGAGCTTGCATTTCAAAGTTTACACCTGCAAAGTGGACATTTGACCAACACATAGAGTAGGGGAGAGTCATAGAAATTATCAGCATATGCTTAATGCTCACCTTAATTGTGGTCGAGCTTTGGGGGCTAGACCATGATTTTACACCAAACATGTAAAAATTCACACATGTGCATCCATGAGCATGCATTCACGTGCATGTATTTATTGTGTGTGTGTGTTCTGTACATGCATAAATACCACACAAAAGGGTTTTTGTGAAGGACACATTAGACCATGCAGGCAAATGTATATAGAACAATTTCTGTCATCTGTCATGTAATACATGCTTTATGGATGTTTGTTGAGTGACTGAAGTTTTGCACTCCCTAGTGCAGAGTTTCTCAGTAGTGGCACTATTGATATTAAAGCCAGATACTTCTTTGTTGTGTTGATTTTAGTACATAAACATAAAATATTTACCAGTATTCCTGGCCTGTATTCACTGGATGCTAATAGCACTCCACTTCAGTTGTGACAGCCAAATATGTCTCCAGACATTGCCAGATGTCCCTGGGGACAAAATCACTGCCAGTTGAAACCACTATCTTAGTGAACCAAGACATTAATGTAAGGAAGTGGCTCCCAAACTTTCACTAGCATTTCAATGACCTTGAGGTCTTGTGAAAATACAGATCACTAGGCCTGACCTTAGAGTTTCTGATTCAGAGGGTTTGGCATTAGACCCCAGGACTTGCATTGCTAACAAGGTCCCAGCAGCTACTGCTGCTGGTCCCCGGACCTTACTTTGTAGGTGCGTGCGTAAGTTGTAAGATGTTCTGAAAGAACTTCAGATGATTTAAATGTGTTCCCTAATTTCATGAACCATAATATAGTTAGTGTGAGAACAGGGTTTAATATCTCCCTACTGAGGCCATCGTGTGGCTCCTCACAGCTGTGGTAGGGATTTGGGGGAAAACCAAGGAATCCATGGGAGATGTTCAGCATGTACTAGATTTCAGTCAGCACTGCTCCTCCAGCCATCACCTGAATCCTGCCGGGAGACTGCTCCAGGTCTTGGCACAACACTGGGGCACCTACGGAAATGAACTTTAGTATTTGCCTGGTAGTCACACTTAACTACCAAATGGGCCACTGTGACACCGGGGTCTGTGAATGAGAAATGGATGTTCAGAGTACATTTAAAGGACGTGGCGATGCAGGATGCCAGTGTGTGACCGGTGACTATTAGAGCCATGGCTTTAACTTGCTTCTTATTTACTTGCACCAGCTGTCTTGCCCTTCCTTGACTCTCCCCTCTTCAGGACAGGGTTCCTGTTGTCCTAAGCTGTCATTCCTACTCTCTCCTCTCTCTCTCTTATTTTTTTTCTTGGAGTTAGAGATGGAGCTGTCTTGAGCTATTTATCAGTCTTATCTCTCTTGGCCCTCTGTTAGCATTTCAGACTGTGGATCTAATCCGCTTTAATTGATTGACCTCGTGCAACCAGACATCAGCAAAACACCAAATGAAGCAAACTACAGCTGGGGGAAAGGTGGATGTAACTTTTCTGGGTGCGTGTAAAGGTCATTGAGTCCTGCGAAGATTTAGGAAAGCAGAAATAATTTCCAAGCCATTTAACATGAATTTTCTAGGGATAATATGTACAGATTCTGGACTCGATAATGTTGAATGGGAGAGAGTCATTCCAAATAGGGTAGGATCTTACAGGGAGTGTACAAATGCCTCTGACTCATCTGTCATCTGTGAGGGCCTCGTTTCCCACCCGGCATCCCTGCCGACATCACCGTTATCACCATCTACATCCTCACCGTTAACATCTTTGTTAGATCATTCTTTGCAGAGCACTTCAGAATTTGCCAAGACTTCAGTCATTTCTCTTAAGTATTATTTAACACAAGTATTATTATTGTTATTGTCTTTGTACTATTTTTATCATTTTTCATGTAATTAGCTTGAAACTCATATAGTTGAGTGACCTGCTCAAGATCACATGGACAAAAAGATGTGGAGCCTTGACTGGGACCAGGGCCTTTAATTCTAATATCAGACTCTTCCAGAACTCAAAGCAGACATTTTCTTCTGCCCTGCTCTTCCTGCCACAGCCACATTGACACTTCTCCAGGGAAGGGGACTGGGTCATTGTCATGAGGTGATAATGGAAATTTGAACCATCTTCAAGCTCCACATCTGGGGTCTTGTCAATTGGGTGATTCCTGAAAGGCTTGTTGATGGAGAGACCTGGTCTCTTACATCTCTTGAATTCTTTAATAGTGCATGGCTCTGCACACAGAAGGTGCTCACTCAGTGCTTATAAACTAACAATTGTCCTGAGTATAGAACGAGAGGACCAAAACACTGAAAAAATAGAGCCTAATGATTTTCACTGAGAGACAGTTAATAGCCACAAAAGAACTCCAACTACATGCTACTAAATTGAGAATATTTTATTCTAAAGAACTTCAATAAAGTCCTCTGTCAGTCAAAATTATCTGATGAATGAAATAAGTTGTACCTCATCTTTTTATATTTTACAGATTGCATTTATATAGCATAATAAGATAATATGCTTTTGCTAAGATTTATTGCACATCAGAATATATTGGAATGTATTATTATCTATTTCAATTATCTATTTCATCCTATACTATTAAAATCCTATTTAGCTTCTTGTGGTAAAAAACACTCTCATAATTTGTTTCTATCAAAACCACACATTCTAATTCATTATTTATTCATTTGCTTATTCATGAATTTAACAAAGGCAGACCTAAAGTATATAATATGTAACATATATGCCCTGTTATATAAATAACACTACTGCAACATGTAACACATGCGACTGAAACATAACACATGGAAAATGCAAGGGGTTTAGAATCAAATAGACTTGGATTCCAGTCTTAAATAAACCTCTTATTGTGTGAATTCCCTGGTGGGTAATTGTGAGAATTTGAAAATAATTATATTCAAAAATATTTACTGACCACCCACTCTGTCCACCCAGGTCGTCCAGGTTATGCTGCAGGAACAAGCAGCCTTAAACACTCATTGGTGTAAAGCCACCAAGCTTTTCTCAGTCACCCTCCGTGTCCATCAAAAGCTGCTTGTTGCCTTCTGCACTCAGTGATACAGACTGACGAAGCGGCCACTACCAGAAATTTGCTGGGTGCAGTGGTTGGCAGCAAATGAGAGAATTCTGGTGGGTCTCACACTGGTGGCTCAGGAATGACATCCTGTTTATTGGTTAACATTGGTCTCTTGGCCCAACCCACCATAAGGCAACCCCCCTGAAGGTCTCTCTTACTGTGAGCTCATAGTGGGGGAGCACTAGAACAATGTGGTAAACAGTGCCACTTATTATTTATTTATTATGATCCAGACTTTGCAATGGGTATGGAAGGCCTTGCAGTACCTGGGCCACGAGAGGCATCATTTACATGTTGTTTTCCTTGTGTTATTACCAAACACTGAACTAAGAAATTCTGTGGAAAGCCTAGCCGGGAAGATACTGAGAACTGCTTCCATTGTACACCTCCCTGGCATGCATTTGTAAATCCCAGTTCTGTTTCTGTCAACTGCAATTTTCTATAATAGAGGATGGTGCATTCTGCCCTCCCTGGGGGCACTCTGGAATGAATGAAGAGATAGCCTTCAGGGAGATCTTTATTCCTAAGGATTTTTCTTGACTTCGTGCATGTCTCCTCCTAAAACCTGACCGTGCTGTTGGCAGCATCTCTCGGGTCACCTCGGCAGCAATAAATATCATGTGGCTGATAGAGGATCAGAAAGCTAGGGCTGGATTAATTTGGGAAACCAGGTGGGCTCGTAAATAGTCGTTATTGATGACGAATGACTTACTGGCTATTTAAATACAGCTGATGTCTGTACTCTTCAGTTTTATTCCTGAATGCACTTGAGGATTCTTTGGGAATGCTTCTGATTTACTACTTGTTTTTGTTTTTAATATCAAGAAAGAACATAGATTGAAGAGATTGCCTTGGTAGCAACTTTAGTGGTGATGGGTGTGGAGTTATTCAAACCAATAGTCATGCTGGTTCTGCAGCTATACTTTGCTTCTCTTAGAGAGGCTTATAAAAGGTACCAAAGAATGTAGCAACTCCAAAATTGTGACAGGAAATCAACCCTGTATAATTTTTTTTAAATATATTCTGTTTGCTAAAATTTACATTTATTTCCACAATACATCTTGATGACAGTGTCCGCCAAACCAACCGGTCCTAAACTCATGCCACTACTTTCAATTACACTAATGAGAGGAAAGAAGACTGACATGTATTGAGGTCCAAAAATATGCACAGCCACATGCCAGGTGCTTCACATGTACGTGCTCTTCTGTAATCCTCACAATTAGCTTCAGAGGTAGCAATTGGCCTCTCCTTCCCTCCCCACATCCTTTTAAAGGAGAAAATTCAGAAGTTAAATAACCAGACTAGGGTCATCCAGCTTTAAATTCAAAGCTATTACTGGAATCATGCTGTGCTAAAACCCACATTTATCCTATTGAACCAATTAACTTCTCCAATAATCACACAGTGTTATATATATGGTAGAATGATTGGATGGTCCCTTCTCCCGATCTCATTTATCTCTTATATCTATATAATGTTTTATTACTGATAAAGTACTGTAATATTCATCATATTAATCATATTATTTTATCCTTACAATAGCCTTGTGATGTATGTAAAGTTGGTATCTTGTCCGGAAATGTAACTTGCCCAAGATTAGTCAGGGCTGACTCCAAAGCCAATGCACTTTCTCCCTTACTTCTTCTCTTCCATGGACACGTGAGCCAGCAGAGTTGATTTTCATGGCAGCTGAGCATGATAGATTGGAGCCTGGGCAACTACATGGGTATTTGCCACAAGGCTTCCATGACTTATAGTGAACCGAAACAAAGCATTTAGCCACAGATTATAATGCCACTGTGGTCCCATGACAAATGGCAAGGAGGTTGCAGTAATGAAATCTTATTACTACAAGTACAGAGACCACATCTGAGGTCTAGCACAGCCGCATTTACCACTGTGGGAAATGAAACATCTGGGTAAGGGGCTCCACTGACTTTGGCGGCATGCTAGCAGGATTAAGAAGATCTCTCTGAAACAGTGATTACAATGGCAAATGTGTGGTGCCTAAGATAAGGACCAAATATTTATTCTGGCAGAGATTAAATCTTTTCTTTTCCTGAATCTAATATGGATCTTGCGGAAAAGCTGCCCAAGACTGTATCTTGCTGATCAGCCAACTCACTGAGCCAGAACTGTACTTTGCCACTGTTGTTTCTGAAAAGCTGCAGAATGCTGGTTTAAAGGTCTCCTCTCTCCCTCCTAAAACTGTTCTCCATCCATGATTAATTAATGACTCAGAGGTGAATTGAATCACCAGCAGTCCTTTCTATGCATTCAGGATTTATGTGCTGGTTTCTCACTGTAGAACAGTGGCACAATAAACAGCCCACATCTGCGGGGCGGGCAGAGGAGCAATGGTGTCTGCAGTCGTGGTTTCTCAACTCCTCCAGTCCTTTCATTCTGCTAAGCAGGTTATGACTCAGGTTATTATAGCCTTGCTTATTTAGGCATGAGTGTGATTGGGTACCAACACACACACACACACACACACACACACACACACACACACCCTTAGAAAAGAATACCAATTCTCTAAGAGAAAGCAGAAAAGTCGTGTTGCCATTTCTGAATTCCTTGAGAATCAAGCAGAAAGAATAAAATGGATGATAGTATTAATTACGGGCATAAAAGGTATAAAAAGAACCCATAACCAGGTTTATTTATCAATAAATCATAATTTAATGCTAGGTACTTTGCTTACTGTGGAGATAAAACAAAACAAAACTGAGAACATAGTGGTCCCAATAAACAGAGATTTAAGAAATCATGAGTGTTTAGTTATCATTTGGGGAGGCACCTGGATCGCCTTTCCCAGAGAATAGAACATGGTAATTGCAGGCGTCATTTCATGCTGTGTACTATGCTATCAGAGCATGGAGGAAATAATGATATCCCCTCTGCATCTCCGCATCCTTGAATGCTGACATCTTTAGTCTATCAGTCTATATTCCTCCCTTCTAATATCAAGACTGCTGGGTACTTGTCCATCCTTTTATGGCATACAAGATGAATTCACATACTAAATGACAAATGGCAAGTTGAGAAAAGCCTCTCTTTTAGGAAAATAAGTGAAATGTACCAAACTCTATGGAAACCAGTGCACATCCCACCAGAAGCCTTAATTTGTTGACTTTAAGCACAGTAGACGCTTAATGAATATTACATTTATGTATTTGGTGAATGAATGAATGAAACAAATTATTAAACCTGTTATTCAGTGAAATCTTTTCTGTATCTTAATCTATATGGATTCTGAAATTCTTTTCACATATCCTTCTTCTCCTCTTTCTCTCTTCCTTCTTCTCCTTCTACTTCTTGAATAAGGACATAGAAGATGACAAATGCTAGTGAATAAATATTGTGACTCAGTCCTGCAGAATGTCAGAATTCCAGCTAAATTTTATGATCCTTGTGTTCTCAACCTCTTGCCAATCCCGCTGACACCCTGCAATGCTGTGATGCCTTTCCAAGAGGTTGTGAGAGGCTGATTGTATTTGATCAGTAAAGTTACTTTCATTTTACATCTCATTGTGAATATTAATCTCAACTCATAGTAGTAGCCAATTGTTAGAGGAGAAGAGTAAAAGTTTTAATAGTGTTACTATTTATGCTTTGGTGTTTTTGTGCATCATCCAGGAGGTGGATGATGTCATCCCCAGCACCATCACCATCTCCATAGTTATCATCTTCATTGGTGCAGTGTTAGTTTTTTCAAATTCATTGCAATTTCCATTCTTATAAGTCTTTCGTGGCCACAGAAGTTCTCTTCTGCTGTGTACATAAGCTACAGCATTGAATGTTACATCTCTCTTTGTCGTTAACATGAGGAGTAGGGCTACAAGTATGGGAGAAGTGGCAGCTGTCTGCTTCTGAAAGCCCCAGCTTAGTCTCACCGGCCTCTACTGAGGATGCGTTTTCCATGTGGTTTAGACCTGCAGAAAGAACGATTAGTCTATAATACCAGTCGCTCTGACATTGGGTCCTAACCATTCTATACCTCTTCCCTTTGACTTGATTGCCCCAAAACATGCAGACAAGCTCATATTTGCTCTTGATTTGAAAATCAGAATTGAGAAATGATTTGGGTTTCAGTGTCTTATCCGTCTCTCTTGGAAAACAGGCCTAATTCATCTCACATAAATGAACTTTGCATTGTCATCGCTTAGTTGTTAGGTAGTTCCAGGCTTGATATCCATGGAGGGCAATTGAATGATGTAACCTGTGCAGTGCAGCTTGTGAGAGCAATTTGGGTGGCTTTATGCCATTGGTTTTTATGTTCAGGATGAAAGCCTATGGAGAAATATAGGATACTATCATTAACTCATGCTGACAGCTCCCTCTGGGCACCTACAGGTTTATTGCTAGTTGGAGGATCAACTTTAAAGGGAGAAGACTTTGTGGTTGGCGATAACTATGCCTTTTGTATTTCTTTATTACAGGAACAGGGGAAAATTGGAGTTGTCTTCAATATTGGCACAGTTGACATCTCCATCAAAGAGGAGAGAACCCCCGTCAATGATGGTAAATACCACGTGGTGCGCTTCACCAGGAATGGAGGCAATGCCACACTGCAGGTGGACAATTGGCCAGTGAATGAACATTATCCTACAGGTGCGTGTTGTACTCTTTCTAGTCATACTCTCCTTTACTTTCCCATTCTCATTTCTACATGGTGATTTTCTCATGCCTGTCACCAAATCATACAACACTGAGTGAAGCACACATCCATGTTTTATGATGATCAGTTATTTCTCGAGGTCTTGATCCCGTGTAGGGAACTTCTGGAGACTTACTAACTATGCAATGAACACTTTTTGTCAACTTTTAACTGATACTCCCTGACTGGCTCATACCAAAGACAATTACTGTAGGTTTTCCTGGGAGCTGCATGGGGTGGCAGCGGAGGGAAGGAAAGCATCTCTATCACAGGCTATTATTGATAATTATGGGATCGTCAATTTGAGATCTGGACTTTGTGATGTCATTTAGTCAGGTGTGGTTGAAGGTACAGACAGTCAGAGGTGCCAGAAAGACTGTGAAAGGAAGTTTATTTAACTGGAATTGATGAACATCAAGTCAGGGTAACCGTGAGAGAAAATCATAAAGGTGTAATGTTATTCATTTGATTGACTTCGCCAATTATTTTTCCCTCAACCTGCCTTGATATTCAGAAGTTGGTCCTTGTAGTCATTTTTATAGCAACTGTGCTGGCATGGGAAGGAAAGAGGTTAATCATCTGTTTAAATTTTTCTATCAAGGAGCATTCGGCAGCAAATTCCCAAGGCCAGATGGCTGAATGAAGGACAATGGGAGAAAAGGTTGCCTTCTTTAAAAGAGACCATTCAAATGATTCCTTAGCTTTCCCTTTAGTCTCTTGCTTCTCCCAGGAAAAGAGACATGGAGCTTGATTATGGAAGTGCCAGGAAGAAAAGGGAAAACACTTTAGCAAAAGGCTTTTGCTCCGCAATTACATTGTCACCTGACGGATGCAAGAGAATAGCTCAGAATATTGCATTTTCACTAATGTGGTCATGATGCTATGTCTAACTCTATCCTACATGCCAAACTCCCCACTATTTTCTCACCGTTCTCCTCTCACTTCCTTTACAATGAGGAGCACACAGTGACAAAGAAGCCCGAAGCACATTTCCAGAAGTCTAAAAGCCGTTTAGCTACTAATTATCAAGCTGCAAGAAAAATTTGCAAAGTAAATTTGTCTATTTGTGGCCCAAAACTTTTGAATGGCTTGAAGGCTTTGATTGTACCTTCATGCCTAACTCAGCATTGATTTGCTTTAAAAGTCAATTATATTTCAGTTCTTAAAAATAAAATAATGAAAACGCTCATTGGAAAATTATGCTTTGCTTAATGCTGCTGTAACACTATGTTATAGACATAAATTTCAATAAAATGTATTTCATTTAAAGAAAAAGTCAATCAGAAGTATCTGTGCTGCTGGGCTGTTCCCTAATAGCCAGAGTCCCCCTATATCTGATTTAGGAATTATGAGAACATCCACAGACAGCATGCAAGACCCCCGAGGTATAGAAGCAAAAAGCCCCACCTAACCTCTACCATCTTGATTTTGATAAAATAGCCATTGCTGGGGGTCTCAGAATTTCTTAGATTAAAGCACAAAAATAACCTTAGGAGGTTATCTTTGAGCATTTGAAGAAAGTCAGAGGTGTTAGCAGTTGCTGTGAATTTTTATCATCACCCAAATTCACTACGGGCTAATAGACCTAATTTTTAAATGCTCCTTGCTTAAAGCTAGAGGGATGGGGGGAGGGGCTGAGAGGAATCAAAATAGCCCAAGATCTTAAAAGCTGTTCATTGGCTCCTAGGAAAAATCAATCTCTCTCTCCATGCATACCATCATTGGCCCTGCTGGTGCTGCTGCGGGGTTTGTTGTGTTTCTATTAGGAATTTCAAGGATTTCTAAATTGATGTTAACCACTTGCCTTGAGCCAATGGAGCTTGCTGCCAGCAATAAAAAGGCTCTTTAATGGTCATTTCAAAGACACAGATATGTAAGAAAACCAGGGACACTTGCTGTGTGCCTGTTTCTTTGTGTTTTTACTTCCAAATTATGAGTTGCTTCCTATATGTTTTCAAAACAGAATAAACCTTTTCTTTAATGGCATCGCTTCCTCCTGAAAACTATTATTATCATGGATAACTGTTATTTAGTAATAATATGTGCTATTATTACAGGATAGGGTACAGTATAGCAGTTATAAGTATGGACCTTGGAGCCAGCTGGCTGGAGTTGGGATCTTGGCTTCATCACTTGTGAGTCTAAGGCAGTTGAATTAAGAATTGAAGTGCTCTAATCACTGAAACATTTGGTGCCCTCCCCACATGTGATTCATAATACAACCATACTGAATTATAAAATAAGTGTAAGAATTTCCAACAGTTCTGATTTTTCTCCTCTGATGATTTTTCGTAATGCTTTAAAAATACATTAGATTCTTTCTTCCCAAATTCTCATGCTTTAGCTTTCTCTGTTTTGTTTATTCTCTACATAGGTGTTTATTCTTCCTATTTGGTGATCCAGTTCCAAACTTTACACCAAGTTATTGAACCTCCCTGGGCCTCTGTTTCCTAGTCTGGAAAATGGGGTAATGATAATACTTACTTCCCAGGTTAATGTGAAAATTAGGTGAGTCGAACACATGTCAAATGCTCAACATAATACTGGGACAATTAAATCAGTATTCAGTAAGTGTTAGCTGTGAGGATTACCAAACATTTGGGTAGCATTTTTAACTAATGACATATTTGCTAACACAAATTCCTTCATTTTGACTATTAAATACTCTGAAAATTGGATAGGTTAGTTATTTTTCTTCTCCATTTCAAATTAAAGACCTATAGAGAGATGCTGTGACTTTCCTAAGGTCACATAGTAAATGAGGAAAACAGGACGAGATTCTTCTGTTCCCAGTTGGGCACAATTTCCACTATTGCTCCCACAGCAAATTGGGGAATATTTTGAAAAATGCATAGCTAGAAATGAGCGGCTTTCTTCCTGTATCATCTTAGATTGATTTATTTCTTTAAAGGAGTATCATATTTCAAAGGTCAGTTCCAATGATCACACAAAAGTGGTTATTGTGAGATGTGGAGACAAAATTACTCATTTAAAAAAGAAAAGTTTTATTAGCACCAATGAGTCCAAGCTGTTCTTTAACAATGGCAATGTGCTCCCAAGAGGTAGTTGAATGAATACTGAGTATTTAAAGAAGCTATTACCTTACCTTGTTGGCTAGATTAAGAAGTGGTACTGATATACTAGATTGAGTCCAACATTTGAATTTTTATGTTCCACTCTGGCAAGACTTCCTAGAAGTGGCTCACCTTTTGAACCTCAGATACCTTATCTTCTCTCCTGCCTGCTTTCCTGTGCTATTGAAGGGATCAATTTAAAATATCATTAGCACAATCTGGCAACATTTATTTATTTTAAATCATAAGCTCAAAATGCCCCCTGCATTTGGGCATCAAAGAACAAAGCCACCAAACTAGTGAGGCAATCTTGACACAATTTCTGCAAAAATGATATCTCCTCTTTTTTTCCAAACCAGTCTGTTTTATTGATAACTAAGTTTAGAAAGCATCAAGAGGAATTCATTCTTGCTGCTTGCCTATTGCTAATGTTCAAACAGTAAAGAAATATAGAGTAGCCCCTACAGAATATTCACTTTAGTTATCTCATTCTAAGGGCATACTCTCAGGGAATTGTTCCTGCTCCCCAGGTCCGAATGAATCAACTGTGCACCAGGATGAATGGGTCAACTCCAGAACCTTCTCATGAGCATTTATAGGATTTTATGGGGCCCTACTGAAACATCCCACCGTGAAATATTTAGAACCCAGCTGGGCACAGGGCATGTAGCATTGGCTCTTTGTGAATCAGGAAGGATACAAAATGAAAATAGTTCTATAGCAATCGGAATCTTATATCACTTAATTCTGGGAGGTAGAACTCAAAAGGAACTTCTTTCTTTGAAACTGAAAATAGAAAAGCTAAGGAACAGGAGAGGGAAATAAAAGAAGAATCAGCCCAGAGCTATCATCCAGGCACTGACAAATGTTCCTTATAAAGCCTCTGATTGCTCTCTACACAATGCAGTGGTGAGGACAAGGGAGGGGAGGTGAAAGGTGACATGAACATGAGGAATTAATTTTAGCCACAGCTCAAGGCCCCCTGGAAGGCTGAGCTGGCTGGGATTGTTCAAGATCCTCTCTCTGCTGTGAGTGGGTGGCTGGTGGTGTCGTCAGTGCTATTAGACCCCTGAGCATGGTGCAGTAAGGGCTTCTCAGGTCAGAGCCAGGCTTCCTGGAAAATAAAGACGGATAAGCAGCTTCAGTATATAGAACTTTCCATCTTTCCACCCCAGGGGGTGCTGAAGAAAGCAGGGTCTCAACTGGTCTTTTTCTTGATTGTGCGTACCAACTCCATTGAAGTGCTCTTGACTGAATTCTTCTTCTCCAGGCAATAAAACATTCACTGATGACCTGTGTTTAAATCCTGTTTGACCACCCAACTCAGGACATGAAAAGGATGTAACAGTAACTCCCTTTCAAGGACACTAGATTAGAAAACTTTCTTTATGTTTGAGTGTATCAAATTCCATAAAACCCGTCTTTATGGGGGTTGAAAAAGAAAATATTGCTATAGTGCTTACCGATGCTCAAAATACCTTCATGTACATTATTACATTTGAGCTTCACTCCATCCTGTCAGGGACTGCGTTTGGTATTATTACACCTGCCATACCTTTTATTTTATTTTACTTTATTTCAGAGTATTACAGGGATACAAATATTTTGGTTACATAAATTGCTTTTGTACAGTTCGGGTCAAAGTTATAAGTGTGCCCATCACTCAGATAGTGTGCCTTGTACCTATTAGGTGTGAATTTACCCATCCCCTTCTCCCTAGACCCACCTAGATTTCCAATGAGTTTTATTTCCATATGTGCACATAAGTGTTCAATTATTTCCAATTTAATGGTGAGTCCATGTGGTGTTTGATTTTCCGTTCTTGCGATATTTCATTTAGAAGAATGGTCTCCAGTTCCATCCATTCTCAGGTTACATTA